GGCCCTCGGGAGGGCGATCCAGGCGCGGGGGACAAGGGGCGCGTCCTTGGGGCGCCCCAGGGTCCAGGGCGGTCAGAGCCTCAGCTTTTAAGGGCGGGGGGAGGGACTGGAACCGGGGGATGAAACGCGCGGGGGTCCCTGAACTTGAACGGTTTTCCAAGCGCGCTGGAGAGTTTGGCACCGGAGCCGGCGATTCTCCATCCGTTCCCGGCCCCCCGCCCCCATCAGAATTACTTAATAGTTGAGAAATTGCAGCATTATTGCCGCTACATAGATAACCAGTTTTAGGAGACTTGCCCCTAGTGTAAGAAATGAGTATTTTCCCGAAATCAGTGCAAATGGGGGGCGGTTGGAGGATGGTGGCTGGAGGGAGTGGAAACCCCTCGGGCTGCTGTGAGCTTGTGGGATGAAGCTGGGGTCCCCGAGGCTCTGGCGCTGTGGGCGCCGCGTGGGAGCAGGTGTGTGCATGGGGTGAGCTTTAGCAGGAAGGTGCTCAGGCAGGGGGGCCGGATGGGCCCCGATTTCCTTCCCGGTCCTGCTGCTTTGAGGCCCTCACTCATCTTCTGTCCCAGGCTGTCGCTCTGCTTTGGTACCGTCCCCTCTGTGGGTGGTGATCATCACTCTTGATCGAGTGTCTCTTAACCTCAAAACAGTGATATATTTATTTACTGAGGTTTTGTTTTTTTTTAAATGAGTGACCACAACGATTGCAAATAGCCTAAGACTGCAAGTAAAGTGTTAGATGCATAACGCACAGCGGATTCCTAGGAGCTCAAAACGGTGATACAGGCTGTTTGGAAAGTTCATTAAAAGGAAGATAAAACCTTAAGGGTATTAAGAAAAAAGGAATCGTGCTTGGATTCTTGGATAGGACAAGAGCTATCTAGCTGGGATAAATTCAAATAAAACTGCAATGGTGGTGAGCATGAACTCGGGGTTACTGAGTACCCTCTGTTAGCGGGGCTGGTTGGAGTGAGGAAACGGGGCCTGAAGGTAATTTTGAATGCTGCGGTGAAGTGAGATTTGGGGTGATGGGCTGGCTGTCGATCCTCTAGCAGGTGGGCATACTGGGGAGTCGTGTTCTAGGGGAGCATTATATGCCAGAGAGTTAATTATTTGATTTTATTGAGAGCTCGGAATAATCTTAACTCTGAATTGAAAGAAATTTTAAACTATGAAATGTGATGAATACCCTTGATAACGGCTGTAGCTTTGCAGCAATCTGTAAACCGTCAGCCTGCATGTTAGGGCAAGTTAACTAATACTGAGTTTTGATTCATGTCTTCATTTGTAATACCAGGTAATTTTTACTTGCAGATTTAGTACCTCAAAGCAGACTCTTATGTGGATTCCAGATTCATTTTTTTCCAGGTATTTCATATAATTCTTTAATATTGTTTTTAACATATTTAGTATTTATCAAAATAGTAAACATTTTCTTTGTCTGTTAAATTAATTTTATTTTTCAAATAAAAAATCTTAATGTTTAAAATAGAATTTTTTTTTTTGTTTTGCACTGAATAAAGTTTATTTTTAATTTTTTATGTTACTTTGGAGATAAGATGGCCTATTTGTATTGGTCACTGACATTGGGTAAAGAATTAGGACATTCATTCATACTCAGATTTTAAAAACTAACCAGTGTATTGTTGATGACTTTCAGTTTGCTGAGTGGAAGAATTTCAACACTTCGAGATGAGACTGGTGCTGTAAGTATAACTGTGTGTATGTATCCAAATTAGATTAACGCTATGATGCGTGATCTTTGTTATATGTTGAATCTTAGAAGATAAGCAGGTAACGTTTTTATAACCACTAAACGGAAGTGACGTATATATACTTAAAGTTTATTATTTTTTTGTCATGTATAGAATGTTTCTATAGTTAGAGAACTTTAAACAGAAATACTACATGTAGCAATTAAATAAATGTTCATGATTAGAGAGATTGTAGGATATGAGCTTACATTGTCAGTAAAAAAAGTACTTTTAATCAGGAATTAAAACTTTAACAGTTAAATAGATTAATGTAAATACTAAAATATTTTGATACTGAATTAGAATGGTGTAAGATGTAGTAAAGTCCTACAGTTTTTTACTTTGGAAAATAGCCTTAGGAATTTGTACAGCAATGATGGAATGAGGGAAGCAGGGAACTATTATGTTTCAGTACAAAAGAAATTGGTTTGTACATTTAAAAAGCAGTTAGTTGTACTGTGTACAAAGCGCGTAAAGTAAGTGTCTCCTGCTCTCAAAAGCAGAGAGGTTCTCTGGAGGCAACACAGTGACCCCAGGTGCTGCAGGTGAAATAATGCAGCAAAAGCAGGCGAGCCTATTTGAGACTCTGGGAAAGGCGTCAGTAATAAGGTCCACAAGCCTGTCGTCTCTCCGACTCCTGATTGGTTCTAGTAAAAGAAAAGCAAACATTTATGAAGGTAGCAGAACTTCACTCATTGAATGTACATAGTGATCATCATAAAAAGCTTTAAAAGATGTTCAGTTTTATGGTTAGAGCTTTTGCAATTGATTCAAAATAGTGTTGGAACATATTCCTGTAAAATGCTATCAATTATGTATTTCATGCGTAAGCACATTGTTATTTCAGTGGTTCACATATAAGTCACAAATTACGTGATCAGGCAACATAAAGTGTCATTTATGCATAATAGTTTCAAAGTATTCCTTGAATTCTAGAATAGTTCAGATAAAAATGTTCCTCGGGTGTCGATTTTACCAAAGAGATCAGTCAAGAAATGAGAGAACTGACTTATTAAGTACCGTTTTCCCACATATTAAAATGTCACCAATAACAGCTTTTTGGGAGGAAAACGGACACCACTGCATCGAATGCACACAACTGTAACCGCATTCCAGGGAAGGACAGTAATTCAGCCTTTGTTCCCTAAGTTAGTGTCACAGACGTTGAAGTTAAAAGTTGTAGTTACACTTGGAAAGTAAAACAACTCGTCATTTGCAGATATTTATTGATAGAGATCCGGCAGCATTCGCACCCATTTTAAACTTTCTTCGGACAAAAGAATTAGACTTAAGGTAAGATACATCCTTTTAAATTCTTAATGGGTATGTCTTTGGTGTATGAGGGAAAGTTGTTTTTTACAATACTGCGTTGCTTGACCGTTTTCGCAGAATTAGACTCTCGTAGGTAGAGGCCTGTGCCCTCTCTTCCCAGCCTGCTCCATCCAGCAGCTTCCTGACCAGTCCCCCGACTTCGTGCTCGCACCCCTACAATTTATTTTCCATCCTGTCTTCTGAAAATACAAATCTGACCTCGCTGCCGCGCTCCTTACAGCGTCTAAGATGTTACCGGGTTCATGGCTGAGGGTTTCGGCACGTGGTACTGTTTCTTAGGGCTCTCTAACCCGACCCGATTCATTTCTCTTCTTCCACACTGTCCGCCTCTCTGCCTTGGCGTCACCCTGACTTCAGGTCCCCGCCGTGGCCACCTGACGCGGGCGTTCATGGTTTCCTGAGCTGCCTCTCCCGCAGCAGTCATCACACCTCCTTTTCCTGGAGCCTCTCCCGTTAGACTGGAGTTGCTGAAGGGCAGGCGCTGTTTCCCGTGTATCCCCAGGGTCTAGTGTTGTTAGAGGTTCAGTACCTGGGGTGGGGGCGGCGGATAAATGAGGGTCACTTAGACTATTTCCTTAACTCAGCCATAGTCCTGGTTCTTACCAGGAAGCTGCAGTCTAATTTGTAGTTTACTGTTCTTTTATTTCATAAGTTCCTAGTGACTCTCAGAATTTATTAATATTTTATAGACACAGCTTTTAAAATTCCACTTTGCTGGAGCTGCCTCAGGTGCTGGTCCGAGGCGCTGCTGGAGGACTGATGCCTTTGTTTCCTTGCAGGGGAGTGAGCGTCAGCGTCCTCAGGCACGAGGCGGAGTTTTACGGCATCACCCCGTTAGGTGAGTGCTGGTTCTTGTTTGCCCAGACAGCGTGTCTTATGCCAGGTCCTGATTTTTGATGGCCTGGTTCAGTGCTTGCTTTTTGTGGATTTTCATTGCAAGAAAAAGTTATTAGCTGGTTTAACTGACGCATTTCCCTTCTTTCCCTTGTCCTCTTGAACTAGAGAAGATAAAGGTGGAGTCTGCCTTTCTGTTTGCATGTGCCCTTGACGAGTTTGCTTTGCAATGTTTCAGTAAGAAGGCTCCTGCTGTGTGAGGAACTGGAGCGCTCGTCCTGTGGCAGCGTTCTCTTCCACGGGTACCTGCCCCCGCCAGGTACTTGCGCTCTGTGCACTTAGTCTTCCTGAAAACCCTCTTAGCATTAAGCAGGTCTGAGAAATGAGTGGATGTGACTGTGCGGCATCACCTCATTTACACAAACAGCCGTCGGCCGGCGTGGGCCACGGCCCCTCGTTTGCCGACTCCTGCATGAGCACGTCGGTGGTCGGTCCCCCCGTGCTGCCCAGGAGCCCCGCACAGGTGTCCGTGGCGTCAGTGTGCAGGACGGCGGCACGCAGAGCAGCTCTGCCGGCGCCTGTGCCACGGTGGGCGCTGAGCAAGGGTTTGTTCCAGTAAAGGCTCCCCTGCCCAGTAAAAGACCTTGAAAGTCGGGGGCAGTTCAGCTCTAAAGCAGCTTAATTTAGTGCCTGGTACCTGATACCTGGTAACTGTATAGTGTAAAGAGGGGACAGACAGAAGGAATGAAGGAATGTTTGCAGCCACCTAGGGCTGGGTAGAAGAGGGATGTAATATGATAAGTCTTAACCTTATTTATATATAACATGATAAATAGCAAAACTATTAAAAGAGTTTTATTTATTTTCACTTTGTTTATGGTAAATTGTAATAAATTGCTGTATTGGAAGATAAATGTTGACTATAACGAAATGCACATTTTTGTTTGTTATAACATGACTTTTTAATTTAATGTAATTATTTTAGGTGAACTTAGAGATATATTTGTCTTATTTCCTTTTGTAGGTATCCCCAGTCGTAAAATAAGCAACACAGCCAGGTCCTCTGCCGACTCTAGGAATGGACTGAATTCTGCAGAAGCAGAGGCTCGGGGAGGTGGCACCCCGCCCACAGCGGGAGAGGAGACCAGCAGGCTTGGTAAGTGCAGATGAAAATACATATTCTTAGTTCCTGCTGATACTGAAAACATGTAAAGATGGAATTTTTGCCTCACCTCACTTTTTAACCCAGATTTATCATTTATATCTTAAAGTGTCTTTTAACATACAAGGTAGGACAAAAGTAGGTTTACAGTTGTGAGTACACAAAACACAGAATTTATTCTGTATTAATTATATTCTATATGAAGGACTGTAAACCTACTTTTGCCCCACCCTCTCTAATTTTTAATGAGAAAGCATGTGATGTTCTGTCTGCTCTAAGCATAGTGCAGGGGTTGACTGACTTTTTACATGATCCAGACAGTAAACACGTTAGGCTGCATGGGCCGCATGCCTTGGTGGCGCGGAAGCAGCGGGGGGCGGTGCGTGACCTCCGTGCTGACGGCGTTCCCGCGGAAGGGCCAGGGCAGGGAGGGGACCGGGCCGGGCCCGTGCTGGATATAAACGTTCCCTTTCCCGGTCGCCAGGGCTGCCCGTGGACCCGCGCAGGGTGCTGAGCGTGGCCGGCCACCACAACTGGATCGTAGCTGCCTACGCCCACTTCGCCGTCTGCTACAGGTACTGGCCCGGTCCCGCTGGCTACACTGCTTGTCATTCGGGGGCTGGTTTCAGTGATTGTGACTTTATATTCCTGGATTGAAGAGCATTAAGCCGTTAAGTTTTTTCCCTGCACATTCTACCTACTTCCGTGTCTCTGGATTATGTTTAGCTTGATTTGTTTTCATAGCTAACTTGGTAACGACTGCTCGTAGCCTTGGGTGTCTAAAATGTTTCTCGAACAACATGAACTGTGATATAATTGAGATATCGTGACGTTATTCCTTCTTGCTTATTACATATCCAGCTTCTGAATCCTTTGACTATTGTATTAAATGACCAGGCGGGATTGTGACCCGAGCAGCGTGACTTTCTGCCTGTAGTGTCAGTCTTTCGTGCCTGCAGTGGCGAGAAGTAAGGCTCCCCACAGTCATGACAGGCGTGAGCTGGGAGTGAGGTGGGAGCAGACAGTCTGGGCAGAGCAGCGTCATTAAAGGTCTGCAGTGGGTGAGACTTACAGAGGGAATTTAGTTTGTGCCAATTCTTGCTTCTCAGAAACTAAGAGTGAGGAGGAAAAGTAGACCAGTGGGTTTTTTTGTTTGTTTGTTTTTTAATTGGAGGAAGGATAGGATCTTAGTTCCAAATCCCTATTGCAATGAAAATTGTTGATGACATAATGGTATAGAGGCAGAAAATGGTTGGGAAATAGGAGCTTAGACTGTGATACCATTTATTTTAATTGCTAAAAAATTAAAGAATATATATTTTGTCACTATTGTGTTTGTTTAAGAAATAACCGTAACAGGTTAAAAATATTTAGAATGTCTTCTAAAGATTACAGATATATTTTAAAGAATCCTGGATGCATTTTTTAAAAACTTCAGTTTCTGATATGTTTGCCATGTGTGGTTAAAAACACACAAACCTTTTATATCAGTCATGTCTTCCTTGTATTTTCATTGCAATAGAGATTCGATGGAAACTTTCCATTTTGAGAGGGTTCTGTATACTTCTTGTTTTAAGTGAACAGCATGGAAATGATTTTGTGGATGGTTTCTTTTGGGGATGACTTTCACATGAAGCCAAGATGAATTACAATAAAGAATTCAGGGGAGCGTTGTCTTGAACGTGCCGTCTCCTGGAGCTGACTTGAGAGAACCGGCTTCGTTTGTTAAACCCATGCACACATCCTAGTTGATTAGGGCCCGGGAGGGTTGTGAAACGAGGTGCTGAGTTTTCCGGCAGGACCGTGTAACTTTCCATCTGGGTTACACAACAGTGCTGAAGATTCCTGCAGCCGGCCAGACACGCGGTGTTGGCAAAATGCCTCTCTGAGCGACAGGCAGCAGGGTGAGCGGCGGCTTTTCCCACTTTGATGTTGACCGTGATCTTGCTGTGCTGTCACCGCGTCGGTGATGTCGGAGCCCCGGCAGAGGGGCGGGAGAGAATGAGGGCAGAGCGCAGCCCCTTGATGACTCGGCTCAGGGGCGACACGGTTTCCCAGAGCAGGACTCCGAGCTGTCCGAGGGCGCTCCCGCAGGCTGCCCTGCCACAGCTTTCACGTCCGTAAGTCCAAGCCTCACGCAGGCGGGTACAGTGCACGCCGCGTAGCTCTCAGCGGTTCGCGCATTCTGCACGTTGTTAGGTTCTGCTCTTGCGTTTCTGTTTCTTGCCGAGTTCACGACAGTGTTAGTTGCATTCAGGAGACTAGTTGTGTAAACTGGCTTCTTGGAGCGCACATCCCACTTCAGAGCTTTCATCTTTGTGGGATTTACTTTTTGTGTGTGGTGTGAGAGTTAGGAATCGGTTGCCTTCCAGTGGGTAGGTCAGTCTGTTTTGATTATTACAGAAATCCTTTCACACTTAAATTTCAGAGCTTTTATTTTGCTTTCTACACACACACACACGCGCGCGCGCGCGGATCTAATTTAGACTCCTGCGATCTCCCAACGCATCTGTCTCTCCCCATGCAGTCTGAGGTCAGCATGCTTGTCATCAGCTCCCAAACCTCCAGGGCGTGGCTCCCTAGGCGGTTTCCTTGAGGTCTTCCCGTGGGAGGTGAGCGCGCTCCCGGGTAGCCATCCTGGCTGCCGAGTGTTGGTTCCCCAGCCACAGTGAGGAGCTGGGCGCCAGAATACCAGGGCTCGCTCTTTAAAGATTTTATATTTTAAATTCTGTTACTTCTGTGGGACATCATAGAGCAAATATGTCTGTCTCCTTTGTACTCAGTTTCTTAGCTTACAGACTAAAGTAAGTTTACAAGTGAGGTCCTGTGGTTGTGATAGTCGTTCTCAGATGTGCTCTCCCGATCCCCTCTGGGCATCTGTCCTGACACCCTAGTTTCTAGAGGAAAGCAGCTGGAGGTGTGGTCTCTAGAAGACGAGGTCCATGCAGTGCTGCTGTTCCTGTTCCTACTTAGTGACAGCACGGCGCCCCCTCAGCACCTCCCCGTGAGCGCGGGGGGAGGTGGGAACCCCCGTGTGTCTGCGTCCAGCCCCACAGCCCCTGAAAGCACCCCGTGGACCTCTCAGTGTTCCCAGCCTTTAGTTTGCTGGGGAATCGGTTCCATCTGTCCATCTTAGCACGCCTCCCTCTGGTGGCCGAGTCGGGCAGTTACAGGCCATTCAGCGCCCAGGACAAACGGTGCATTTTCCCCTGCGTCGCTTTGAGGTTAAGGAAATCATGAAGAAGGCTCACTTTTTGTGAGTAATTGTGTATTATTTTAGTCTACGTCTTAAAACAAAAATGAAACTAAACGGATTTTGTTTGGGTCCTTAGGTGACCCTTCCTTGTGGCCTGAGGTTGACCTTTGGGTGACATGTCAGGTTGGGCATAAGGAACGTTGTTTCCTTCCTGTCTCTTTACTCCCTTAGGTGAGGCAGAGGGGAGTCTGTAATTCTGTTTCATCTCTTCAGTGTAACTAGGAACAGGAACCCCAAGGTTAAAGTTCAGTCATTGCCATGACTGCCCAGCTGTGCAGGCTCCGCATGTAAGAAGGTTGCTCTGCAACCCCACAGAGTACCCGTCGGAGGGACTTAAGATGGGGATGTTTATCAGAAATTAAATGTTAAGGAATGCGTTAAATATGTCTCCGGTTAACTGCAAACCTGAGCCCTGGTAAGCCTTTACATAAGGGGAATTCATAGGCCCCTAAGATTTTTCATTTAGAACGAAGCCTTTAAAGTCCAGCCCTCAGAGAAGGGTTTCCTAGCCCCTCATTTTATTCCTTTGATGGTGCCGAGGTATTGGATGAATTGTTAAACCACATCACTCCCTTTTCTCAGTTTGCCTGTGGAGACTGTCATCTCCGGTAAGAAAAACAGTGGATTGAGAGCGTGTGGTCTCAGTTTATAGTAACACCTGAGTAACTATTAGTAACTGAGAATAATAATAATTGTCCTAAACTCTGGTTTCATCCACCATTCGTGCCTTTAAATGCCAATAGGAACACTTCTGTGTGTAGAAAACTGAAAGGGTTGACGTGCATCTTTAAGTTGTTAATGTTTTTTAAAATTTGTGAGGGCTTTGCTAAATTACTCTTTGCAGAAGTATAGAACTCTAACCTCTTTAGGGGATTTAGATTTTGTATGTGTGTAAATGTAAAATATTTCAGAAGTAATATTCTGGATTTGCAGATGACAGATACCAGCAACATCTTATATTTAACATAAATATACCAACAACACTTTACATCTAACACAAAGGGGGAGTGAGCCGCGATTGGCATGCTCTGTGGCACAGGCGCTGTACGGTGTTTGCCCAGCAGCTGCTGAGCTGCCGTCTGTGTCCGTTCTCACAACAGAATCAAGGAGTCCTCGGGGTGGCAGCAGGTGTTCACAAGCCCGTACTTGGACTGGACTGTCGAGCGAGTGGCGATAAACGCAAAGGTGGTCGGAGGGCCCCATGGAGACAAAGACAAGATGGTTGCCGTGGCCTCGGAGAGCAGCATCATCCTGTGGAGCGTCCAGGACGGAGGAAGCGGGACTGAAATTGGTACAAGTTCTGCGTGTGCTGCATTTTGCTGGTGTAGATACTATTCTGAAGCTGAACGGGTCGCCTGTAAATACCCAGCCTGACCCGATGGTTGGTCAGCTAGAGCTGCCTGTCCTATTCTCAGGGTCCCGGGGCACCAGGGCTGCTCAGTGCGGGGTGCTCTGCAAAGAGGGAAGGTGATGTTGCAGGAGGGGGAGTCTTTTCACCACTTTGCTCCAGCAGAAAAGAATTCCACTAAGTTCAGTTCAGTGCCACTGCTCTGACGCGTGCCCAGGTGCCTGCTGCTGCTACCCAGCATGCTCTGCGCCAATAGTCAGATGCCAGCAGGTGCTCCAGGTGCTGCTCTTACCCAGCATGCTCTGCGCCAGCAGTCAGATGCCAGCAGGTGCTCCAGGACAAAGCGTGACATTCCTAAAAGGTTTCAACACTGACACTCTCAACACTAATGCTTGTGGCCAAACATTCACATGAAAGGTCTTCCGTGACGGGCAGGTGCTGATACCAGATGATAAAAGCCACACACCAGGTCCAGCCACAGCTTACAGCTGTATATTCAGCTGTTTGTAAGAAAAAATATACAGTTCTGCAGACAAGATGTTGTCTCTGCCAAATCTCTAATTCAAGGTGCCCTGTATCACTCAGGAGGGGCAGTGCTGGGGCTCCTTTCACGGCCTTTCATCCGCTGAGCCGCTGTTCGGTCTGTTCCTTTCCCAGCCGTTGTGCATGCCAGCTGATGCCACCAGCAGACATTTCCAACTTTTAAAGAGTTTTTCACGTGTTTAAAATATTTTCTTCTTTAAACTCTGACTATTCTCAGTGAAGTGGCACCTGGTGTTGTCATACTATTCAAAACGTTCTGGTTCATAAGACACAAAAGGGAAATTACCAACATCTATAAAGGCGAAGGAAAGATAAGTTTTACTTTTAGGTTTTTTCAGTTTTGCCCAGGTTCTTTAGAGTCTCCCTCCTTCTGTGAGTCAAAAAGCAGACATGTCCTGTGGTCGGCGTCTTTAGACTTCGTGCAGCTGCCGGTGGAGCAGGGGCTGCTCTGACCTCCCGCTGTGAAGCCAGTGATCCATCACTACACACAAGGACAATATATTTTAAAAATTTATATTAGATTGTTTTTTGAACCTTTTAAGGTAAAATTTTATTGTTTTGCTTAAAACTAATATTGTAAAGCACAGCCCAGTATAGTTTCTTGTTTCTTTGTAGGCGGAGGGAAAACTTGGACGTCAGAACAGTGATCTATTGGAAGTGAGGTTGCAGAGGTTGTAACACGTAACCGGAGGTAGCCAGTAGGAGAGTAGTGGAGATACTTAGAGTAAACCGCTAATCTCGGGGAACGTGCCGTTACTTACACCCTAACCTCCCACCTTAGACGGTCCCAGAAGACCTGAGACCTCCCGCTCTGTACACTCCTAGGGTGAGGAACAGACGTGGAGGCCGTGCGGTGGGGGACACGGGTGTGATTTTTTTCCTTCTTTCTCAAATGGCCCTTGTAACACGCCCGTAAGTGAAGGCGATTCGGTGCCTGCTTTGCTCTCAGAGGCTGATGGGGTAGGGGCTGTGTTGAGATACTACCAGTGATTTGTTCAGACCCCATAAGAAAAGCCGTCTGTTATCACAGATGCTCTTCAGGACTTGACAGCGGCACCTGGAGAAAGCTGTTAGGCTGGTGTGTCCCTGCTGGTCCTGTCCCAGCTGACCCCCTTCCTTGTAACCTGCATACCCGAGACAGTGCTGCTGGGCAGAGGCTGTGGCACTGCTTCCCCGGAGGGTCCCCTGGGACAGGACCTCGTCATCACTGCTGCCGTCCGCCCGGTGCACGTGGTCGGGGCTCCGGCGCCTAAGCGGCGGCGACACTGAACTTCTCGATCCTTCAGGACGCCTCCCCTCGGTGCCCAGAGCCTCACCTCCTCCGGAGGAATCGACCGTGGCTGGTGTCGATTGGTCTTGGGTCTACCTTTTACAGAGTCCACAGCACTGAATACAGTTAGTTTTGCCTGTTCTGAAAAGTTGTGTGGCATCAAAATTAAAGTCCTGTTACCTAAGAGTTCCTGAAATTGCAGGGGAAACGACGCCTTTCTGCTCTGAAGTGGCAGGTTTCTTTCTCAACCAGTTCTGGTCCAAGGGCTGAGCTTTCTTGTGTGTGAATCTCATTTTACTGTTCTGTTTTGTTTTCCCAATGGGCTGGGTGAAATGGTATATTCATGTATATAAACACATATTTATTTGTAAAATTAAAATGTTTGAGACAGATGGTTGAGGGCACCCAGGTCTGTGTCCTCAGCTCAGTGGTTCCCAGATTCTGGTCCCCGAGCTGCAGCTAAATCTCCGTGGACTTTATAATAATGCAGCAGCTCTGACCTAGTGGGCCTGGTGTGGATCCTACAGCCCTGGTTATTTTACTTGTTCACTTTAAATCTACCTGCTATTTGATGATCACCTAGGTGCAGGGAGCACAGCTTCAGATCACAGGATGTTCTGTCCCTGGGGGAGAACTTGGGCAGACTTCCATCTGCTTTAGGGGCTGTGTAAGCTGCCTAAGAGTTCCTGTTTCTGGCCCCCATAGTGCCTAGCACATACTTTGTAGGAACGAGACTAGGTTAAAATTGTCACCATGAGATGTTCTTAGGTTTGGTTTTGGTTCATTGTAAAGCTGACCGCTGATGAACCTCTTTTGTTGCCGTTTAAGGCGTGTTCAGCCTCGGCGTCCCTGTGGATGCTCTCTTCTTCATCGGCAACCAGCTGGTGGCCACCAGCCACACGGGGAAGGTGGGCGTGTGGAATGCTGTCACTCAGCACTGGCAGGTGAGTCCCCGGAGCAGGGGAGGGAGGGAAAACGTTCCTGAGGCTCCTGCTGACTGCCGCTGTCTGTTGTCCTGGGATTCATGCTTCTGTTTGAGTGATAGACTGTTGGATATGCTGTTAAGTTTGCTTCTAGATGCCAGTTTGACTTTTTAAGAATTTTAAGTTACTCTAGGAAATGTTTTTAAATTGTGACTTATTTCTTCATTTCCTTGGCAGGCTTAGAGCTCCAAGATTTAGCTCTTTCACGTTTCCGTAGGAATGGGCCTGGTTCTCTGCTGCGTGCTCCCTGCTGTCGACGTGCCCGCCCCTTCCTCTCCTAACTGCCTTTCCCAGTCCGCAGGCTTCACTGCTCTCAACTTTTCCTCGACCTTTGCCCTCCCCCCAACTGGGCCGAGAAGAGATTCCTCCCCCTCCTCTGATCGTGTCACCCACCGATTTTACAGCCAGTTACAGCCTGTAATCGTCTTTATTTCTCCTTCCTGCCCCCAAGTTCACAAGCCCCTACGTTCCTTTTCCAGGCTCCTGCTGGTTCTCCTGATGCTGCCTGGTTCACGAAAAGCGTTTCAGTTAAGGGTCACCTGTGAGGTTTCGCCTGCAGCTCTGTCTGGCTGTGCCCAGCGAGGGTGCACTGTGACCTCACTTACTGCCTCCACTCCCACACACACTGTGCGTTTGTTTTCTAGTAGAAATCATGCCCTTTGAAGCAGCTGTTAACATGTAACTAGATGACTTTGCTTGGAAACTGATTTTATTGTAGTGAGCTTGAAAAACAAAGCGCATGAGAGAAACAGAAAGTCTGCAGTGGGGACAGTGAAAGTAGAGAAATGACCTTTTCAAATTATTGAGGGAATGAACTGTCTGGAAATCAGTTGGTCTGTGCTCTGGTTCTAACTCTGCCCAGCACTAGAGGACCCTGCAGGCTGGGGATCTGCTGTGTACCCTGGTCTGACCCGGCTGAGCAGTCCTAGTGCGCTGTGGCCTCAGTCATGTGCAGAAAAGAATTCCCCTAGATCCTGGAAGGAAAGTGCTGCTGTTGGAAACGCACATTTTTTAAAAGCTTCATGGGTGGTTCCCCAGCATTCCCTGTGTGCAGGGTGTGTACGCACAAAACGCCGGTTTCTAAGCCCTGCTTACAGTGGGTATTAGTTTTCTTTTTATTAAAAGAATTTTGAGGAGATTGAGCAGAAAATATAAATTGCAGTGAAGATCTAACATCTAACAATAACCTCACTGCATCAGGTTCAAGACGTCGTCCCTATAACCAGTTACGACACTGCAGGCTCCTTCCTGCTGCTCGGGTGCAACAACGGGTCCATCTACTACATAGGTGAGTGTGCGGGCCCCGCGCGGCCCCGCCGGTGGGGTTCCTCAGACGACAGCGAGGAGACGGTACTTCCTAGTTTTATGTAAATGCGGTTTGTTCTACCATCACTTAAACGTTTTTATTTTCAGATATGCAGAAGTTCCCTTTGCGAATGAAGGACAATGACCTTCTCGTGACTGAGCTCTATCACGACCCTTCGAATGACGCCATCACTGCGCTGAGCGTTTACCTCACTCCCAAAACAAGTGAGCGCTGGCAGGGCTGGCCTCCGTGCCCGACGCGTCCTCGAGAACGTGGGCTCTTGATGCTACAAGCAATGGGGCCCTTTCTTGGGAATGGCAGAGCTAAGGATTTCACCCCTGTTTCTCTCGAGTTTCTTTCTGTTTTTACACTGAAGTGGAACGTGACCAGTAGAGGAGAGGACAGCACCTCTGCAG